GTGGGTAGGTGAGCATTACCGTATATATATATATATAGCCCTCAGCTGAATTATATCAAGCCGCATCTTTCTGTTCATTCTCGTCCTCGTAAGAATTTTTCTTTTTCTCTCTGTCACCTTCGCTCATCACCTACGATCCTCACCTTCATCGCCATAAATCATCATAACCCGTCACCTTCCTCGCCTTCGTTCTTCGTCACCGTTCCCAACGGCCATCATCATCGATCAGGCCTCGTTTTCCGGCGACCTTCCCTCCAAGGCCATCATCTCCGACCGCGAGCAGGCCCTTCCTCCTCCGACGAGTTGCAGTCCCTCCACGCGCAGCGCCTCCGACCACCGTCTGCTGTTTCCCCACGTCGCACAGCAACTCCAGCGACCTCCTTCGCGTCAGGCCCCGTCGTGATCGCTGCTATCGACCAACAAGTTCTCGGTGAGCCGGTAACCTCCGTCGCTGCGTCGTTCTCGTCGCGAGTACGATCATGTCTCGTCCACTGCCATTGTTCGTACGGTCCCGAGCCGTGCTGTTTCGTTCGTCGCATGTTATCCGTCGAGCCTCGTTCGTGTCTTACGTCCCGTTTCTTCGAGTTTTTTAGAAAAACGGTACCTAGTCGAACCTCGTCTCGTTATATCATTATATCATTTATATTAGTTGCATTACGTGTTTAAATTACGTGTTGTGCTTGCTTTGCGACTAATCGAACATGTTATTAGGTTATGTAATTAACATGATTTATTGAGTTGTTGTGTTTCGTGGACCTCCTCGAATTTGAGGGATCGAGTGGGACCTCGAAACATGTGTAAGACTGTGGATATTGGAATCAGGTCGAGTTCTAGGCCTTAAGAGAAGTCCTCGCACGAGAATTACATGTTTCAAGTCAAACGTGCATTTATCGAATTCGTATCTTCGCTGTTTTGGTGTTTGAATTTTTAAAAATGTAAATTGATCGGAATGCTATGAAATTTTAATTGTACATCTGTTGATATTATAGCTTGTGTAAAATTTTCATAATTTTTCACGGATTGTAGCTATTTTAAAAAATTAAAGTGATTTCTGGGCAGAAACGTATTAAATTCATAATAAATCAGTCAGTGCTCCAAATTTGCTGAAATTTTAGTATGTCGTCTCTCTGTCTGATATATTCCTTGTGTAAAATGTTTAGAATTTTTGGACTGATATTGGTAGGGTAATTAATTTATTTACGTTTTCTGCTGATATATGTTTTAATTATGATAAATTGCTTAATTGCTGGAAAAATCTGATTTTGGTTGAGATGCTTATTTTATGTGTACTTGAATGCTGTAAAAATATTGGAATTTTTGGAGTTGGAATTTGATGGGTTTTAATTAAAATTCGATAAACTGCTGAATCTTGGATGAATTTTCATAGTTTGTGTATTTGATGTTAATTGTTGGAATTTTTATATGTTGATCTTCAATTGTTGAACTTACTCTGGTAAAATCTCATGTGCTAATTCATTCATTAGGTTGGAGCTTTGAATTTTATGCGCATTTTTACTGATATCGTGATTGAATTTTATAAAATTGTGTTTAATGGGTTTGGGGCTGAAACTT